CTCTTCCCTGAGTACATGACAAGAGGGAAAGACTTTAAATTGGGGCAAAAATGTTCTTTAAATATCTTATAAAATATGTTCTTTCATATCTTATGAAAAAATGACTTTAAATATCTTATAAAGTGGTAAGACTTGAGTGACTTGCCAAATTCACACAGCTACTAATTTTTTGAGCCCGTCTGATTCTAAGGCCTCAGCTCCTTTCACTCTTTCGTGTGGCACTTTCTGGAAGAAGTGCTATGGCTAAGACAGTGGGGTGGCTGTGTCCCAGTTCTGGGTAAATTCAATGAGCCCTTTGATTTTATTTGCTGCTACCACCAGTACTTGACTGGCACAAATAAAAAGAAGAGCTTTATTTGACTGCCATCTAGTGGTCATTTAATTTCTTTATGGAGGCTAAGTAGGGTTTGTTTCTCATGTTTTTGCTAATAAGCCATGAAAATCATTTTAACTTTGCAAAGATGTACACTAAGATATGAAGAATGTTTCCTAAAATCTTAACTTCTATAACCATGTCACACAGAGAAATAAATCTAAACAGACGAGATCGTGAAAAATTGACTTCATATTTAGTCTCTTACTGATGGAGAAATTTTACACTCGGACAATATAAAGGATCACAAGGAGTGAAAGAAGTAGCACTAGACAAAATGATGATCACCCATTCAGGCTCCTTCTTTCCTGCACATTATCTATGTAGATGGTGAAGTCATAATAAAGCTTATGACCAAGAGCACAGGCTTCAATTTAGGCTGCCTGGGCTCAGCCTTTAGCTCAGTGATTTGGCCAAGTTGGTTGATCTTTCTGAGCCTGTTTCCTCATCTTGGGGGATAATAATAATACCTAGTACATAAGATTGCTGAGATGATTAGACAGGATAAACAGCTAGATAAATAAGGTGGCAATTACTTGGAACAGTACTGGGTACACAGTAAGCACAATACAAACATTTGTTATGGGTATTTGACATGATGCCTATTTTTAAAGATAAGTTCACTATAGAATGTAGGGTAAACTGACCACCTAAAGTCCAGTACCTAAAATCTGTTAAACACATTGTAAGAGCCAAATGCAAGGTCCCTGGAACCATGGCTCTTTTATAGCAATTGGCATAATGGTTAATCTGGAGGAGATAGTTCAATTTGAATACTTGAATATTTGAAGAGGAAAGAAGAAAGAAAAGGCAAGAGAGGGTCTAGACAAGGGGTAAAGAGGGACTACTTCTTTTTTGTCATTTATTTATTGATTCATCCACTAAACATTTACTGATTTGTCTACCATAGGCCAGGGACCATATTAGGTTCCTAGGCCACCAGTTCTCAAAATGTGGTCCACAAGGTCAAAACTACATTTATAATATTGATAATACTAAGATGCTGGGTTTTTCCATTCTGAGATTTGCACTGATGGTGTAAATGCAATGGTGAGTATTGTCTCAGTATGCATCAAAGCAGTGCCAAACTATCATTGTTCTTCACCACCATACACCCAGTAAAAAGGAAATGCCTTTCAATGTGATCACTTTCTTTTTCTCATAATTTCATATAATGTAGTTTCCTGATACCAAATCTTTACAAAGTGAGAGTGATCTATGGTGACCAGGTTTAGATAGTAAAGTTATGCTGGATTCATAAAAAACTGGGGAGTTTTCCATCTTTTTCTATACCTTAGAGTAATTTAAGATCAGTTAAAACACAGCTATCATCCCACCTGGGCTCGATGCCTTTTTCAGTGGTAAAGCCTTAAATACATTTCCTAATTATTTATGGTGTGATTAACCAATTAAAATGTTCTATTTCATTTTGGATCAACATTCATTCTTTATTCTTAAGGTTCTATAACTTAACAGATAGGTCTTGGTGTTACATATCTTGTTAATTACTCCTCCTGGACCAGAGGACTTTAATCAACCCTTTCTTCAGGATAATTGCTTTTATTCTGGCATAGATTTGAATATAACACATGCATCTATAAAGATACTTGTATATGTCTGATCACCTTTGAATGGAGTCAGTTATTTACTGAATAGCCCATGGAGCGGGAGGAGGGTGAGAAATATAAAGTCAGTAAGTTATCTAAAACACTCATTAAATCTGTTGTCTTCCCTAAGGGCATGTCTTCCCTTCTCTTGGTTCTTAGCCTTCAAATTAATAGGTCGTATACTTAGTGTGGCTTCTCCTGCAGTTCCACATTTCCCTGCTACTCTGCTGTACAGGATTTGGGCCTAAGATGACCAGATGGGCCTTTCAGAGAAATTTGCATCTGGCCCCAAGTCTGAGGAGGCTGGTCAGACTTCAGACTGTTCCAAATCTCAAAGCATTTGGGAGGTATCTTTATTATAAATTGCAGTTGTTTCCTTATTTCATTTGCGAGGAAATGTTTTTGTCTTAAATCTGTTTTAATCTATTAAACCTATTTTTAATTCCATTTGATGTTTTTAGTGGGTTTGGGGGAGATACGATGACAGCAAAAATGTCATTACTCTATCTTATCAAATTATCTGCATTCTGTTCAACTAATGTTTAGGGATATTGCTAAAAATACATTGAAGCAGCTCAGGAAATTTCACCCCAAAATATCACTCTTTGGTCTAAAGAGTATTTTGAATTAAAGGCCTTTAGAGATCAACAGGCCTTGAAAAGGGCTTTCCCTCTTTCTTCATAAAAAACCAGACTCATCAAAAAGAAAAATCAACTTCCCTTCCCTGTTACCTCCATATATTACAGGAAAGAAAACCAAGAATGCAACCAGACCTGGCCCAAATCGTTTCAAATACAATACCTGTCTCTCAGGTTTATTTGACTTATTTTTAAATCAACCTGTTTCCCCTCATCCATTAATTCTCCCCAGTATCTATTCATCGTCCCTAGTAACCATTTATTGCCTCAAAACAGGATTACCTATATTCCTCATCTACTCCACCCCTCATATTAGAATATGAGGGTATATAAATTTCTGGATCCCATTAGGATATTGGGTAATCACTCTGTGACTCTCCCCAAGTGCAAATTAAATATCTTTCTCTGCCTTATTTTTGAGTTGATCTTTCAGCAAACTTTCCAGGGCCAAGCTGAAGTTTCCCCTCACCCCTACAACACTAATACCACAAAAAGTTAACACGTAATTTCCTTTATTAAAGAATTATTACTCAACGCATTTAAAATACTTTTGCTTCTAATAACTTTATTCACACAATTTTAAGCAAACTGGAATTAGTTACTAAGGGACACTTGGAACCTAATAGGAAAGAATACTATTCAATAGCTGCAAAATAACCACATTCTCTTCCATGATTGAAAAAAGTATTGGCATTATATGAGAAATACTGATACCGTGTTTCCCCCAAAATAAGCCCTATCCATAAAATAACCCCTAACAGGATTTCTAAGCATTTGTGCAATATAAGCCCTACCCCGAAAATAAGACCTAGTGATGGGCGTGGCTACGCAGCCTATCTGCACAACCCATGCATTTCCTCATGGGGCGGTAAAGACGACCAGCAGCCCTTCTCATGAACAGCTCCCCAATGAGAGCTCTATTGCTCCATATGAGAGATTAAGGCCAATGGTTCTAAAAGAAATAGAGTCGCAAGAAATTCAGGATGGAATTCAGGGTTTGGAGAGTTATGATGTTCTAGAAGAACTTGACTTAACTATATTTGAATAAATGTAGATTGTTGTACCTGTTGTACTGTACTTAAAAACACACACACAACACATCCCCTGAAAATAAGCCTAGGGTGTCTTCTTGAGGAAAAATAAGTGTAAGACCCTGTCTTATTTTCGGGGAAACACGGTCTATTTCCGAATTTATTTTCCTTATAAGGAACAAGCAGATTCACGATATTTGTGATAAAATAAAAATAAAAGGATCCAGAAAGAAATTGTAGCACCTAGACCCAGTCTCTCTTGAATCTTAATTGGAAAGTAACAGAGCCTAACAGATCCATTTGAGTTAAACTGCTACAGGCTTTTCTTTGAATCGAACTAAATCTGCAAATTTTATCTTCAAAGCCTACCTGCACATGAGTTGGATTAGACAATCTAATGTCCCTTTAAACCTAAATTCTAGAGTCTACACTCCTTCTGTTTCAAATCTTCCAGCACACTACTAGAAAGCCTAGAATAATATATGCAGCACATTTTCAGCAAGAGTATGGGGGCCTTGATGTCCTCCTGATTGCATCTTATTTTTTGTACTTATCAGGACTTTTCCAATTGTGATTTCAGAAACCCAACAACCATATTAGCAAGTTTAAGCTTGAGGAACCAAGCTATGAGTAGCTGAGGCTCAGAAAGACTGTGTAATCAAAGTCCTTCTGGATTCTGTTTCATCTCTTCATGCTCTACTCAATTTTGTTTTTTCAAATCGGGTTTTTCCAGGTGACAGAAAAATATAACTCTGGTGAACTCCCATGGTGAAACTAGCTCTTTTTGTTTCCAATTTTTAAACTCTTGTAGTAATTCAATAACTCAATTTTGAGCCATGTACTCTCTCTCTAGGGCCCATCACTGGGTGTCAGGAAGGTAGAATCTGTAAGATGGTAGCAACTTCCCTTTGAACAAAGCAAATGTAAATAGTATCTCCCCCAAAGAAAGGGATGCTGTATTCAAACCAGGAGGAAAGGAATGGCTCCTTTTTCCTCAATCTTATCAATGTAATTTTCATTGCATCAATCACCGTAAAATGCCCTATAAAAAAGAAGCTTCCTTAATTTTTAAAACCTACTCTATGCCAAGCACTCTACGAGGACTTTTGGACCAATCATTTCAAATTCTCCCCATAACCCTGTGAGCTAGGAATTATCATCTCACAGTTGCAGATGGAAAAAAATACATTCAGGAAGTTTTAATAAAACACAAGAGGTCTAGAACTTTTAAACTTTTAGTTTACTATTTATTGTTCCTTTTACCTGGAAAATTTAAAGTAATATAATTTTCATCATACTCTGCAACACATATATCCTGAAGTTAATGAAAAATAACCAATAAAGACTGATACAATTGGCAATACAATTCTTTATTGTTTTTTCTTTTCAAGGAAGAAACATGCTTTTTATACAGCACCTGTAAACATGTCAGTGAAGTATGCTACTTTGAAATTCCTCCCTCCCCCTTTTTTTTTGGAATGTCAGATTACCACATCAACCGCATAACATAATAGCTACTGAAAGCAAGTCAGGCTAAAATAAGAGTAAATTTTATAGCTAAAAATATTCATAGCAGCAACTTTTAAAAGATGATTTTTATTAAATCAAGTCATTGCACTTGGTCATTTTATTGCTACAGCAAAACAAGGCCATTAAATTATTAATACTTCTCATTTTTGATTTAAATGATTGTCTCATTCTGCTCATACATTTCAAGTTTAAATGCACACATAAAATGTTTATCAAAAATCTAGAAAGCACTTGGATTTTTTTTCTGTGATCACAATAAGAAGCATAAAATAGAGAATCATCTGTTACACAAGGCCTATTCTCTCTTTACATCTTCAGACTTAAATTCTGTAAAGAGTTAACTGTTTTACAATAAAACGGAAGCTCAGTGGTCACACAAAAAATAACATTGAAATACAATTAGGAAATTAAGTAATATTGTGTGTTTCAAAGGATAGGAAACCAGAACTATAGATTCACTAATAATTTGGCAATGATTCAGATTCCATGCTGTTCACCTTTAGTCTGTTATTTATACTCACATGTAGAAAAAAATTACCCCTAAATAAAAGCTATTATTATATATCATTTTGTGATATGAACTTCAAGAATAGAAATGAATAAAAGTTCCCATATCAAGATTGCTAGAATAAAGGAATTTTTCCCTTTAAGTTCAAGTTCATTTGGTTTTATTTTCTTTACTATTTTGTCAAGGGTAGAAAAATATACAAGGTACTTCAATTACTTTTCTATTCTGACTGAGGAGTACACAAACAAAACATTTTAAATGTATTTCAGTACTCATGACCATCCTGATTGTATGTACTAGTGAGAAAATGACCAATAACAGTCTGAAATCTGCTGAAACCTTCTCCCATCCCATTATTAGGGTGGGGAGAAATCACTTAAATTGATTTTCCAGTGAGAAAGCTAGAGGATGATTTCTAGGATACAATGTTTTATTTTTACCTGAGGACTGCCATTAAAAGAACCAAGATTTAATGTATTTAACAAGGAGGAAAATCATTCATTTGACTAGTCATTTAAAAACAGAACAGGAAGGAACAATTCTGTTCAGCAGTGACCTTATTAGAAGAGGCCAAAGACTTTAAAGAGATATAATGCAAATTCTGAATACATAATTAGCATTCCCCAAAAGACCTAATAAAGTTATAAAGTAAACATTTTGTAATTGTGTTTTGGCATTTCTATTATTTTCTACTTTAGATCTCTTATTTGAAACATGACAAAATTTCATTTACACAAGATTTCTGTATTATAAGATTAAAATATAAAGGGAGAATATTGGTTTAGTGGTTTAAAAGAAAAAATGAAAGCATGATGATTGGTACTCAAAATCTGACACTCATTTGCTATAATAAAGCTTAAAACCTATTTTTTCGCAAATAAAATAATTTCAAATTTAAAAATTTTAAATAAGCCCACCTGTGTTTCTAAACATATTACCTATAGATATAACATTTAAAAATGTTCAACTCTTCATAAGTGACTCTGAAGAAATGACTAATTCATCCATTCTATGAAAATGTATTTTGAATATGGTCAACTATATTTGGTTTTAAATAAGTTGTAATGTTAGATTTTATGACATACTAATGCTCTTTGTAAGTTGGTGCCTAAGTAATAGTTCAAAATATCTCCACGAGTTAGTTTGGTCTATTAGGTAAATTATGCATCGTGAAACGTTGAGTATTCACAAGATGATAACTTGTCAAAATATCAAATCTCACACTGAAGTTCTGAAAAGTTTTGTTTTCCTAATATTACCATTATTAAAAATGAGGAGGAGGAGCATGAAGAACTAAATCATAAGATAATGAAATGAGTAACATTTGAAACTATAAAATAAGCAGAAAAGCAAAGCAATAGAGCTGGTGCTTACATATTTCACATGTGCTGTAGCTTCTAGGCACAAGTTAAGGGTTACAATAATATTAGATTCCTTAGACCTAATGAATTTAAAATAAAGTTCATATTTTCCCAAATATGTTAACAATCCAATATACTTTAACTAAATTCCTTTTATGAGTACTCTAGTGCAAGCAATATAAAATATTCTAAAAGTTGAAGAAATTATTTTGATTACTTCATTAGTAATTACTATATGCATGGATGAATAATCCGATTTATAGCTTAGAAACTCCTATTTCATCACCCAAAATATAAACAGCACTGCAGACAAATAGGCACAACAGTGTAATCCTGGGTAAGAGGCTAAAACTAAAAATATATATACAGACACACATATGCATATTTTATATCCCTTATGCATTATGGAAAAAGTAGTGACTATAGTTACTAAAAAGCTAATTTTTCCCTCTCAAATACTATATCTTACAGATTTTTAAAGATATTACCATATTTATAGTATAGATCTCTTTAAAAATAATACTACAAGTTTCCATATAAAAACTATTGTGAACTTTCTTTCCTTTTTATACATATTCAGTAGTATTTTTAAGCAAACAAATTTAAAAAAAGTGTTTGCAATCCCAGCACAGTAAGAAATAAGGCCTCTTTTTTTTCATATTGGCAAAACAAAATATATATATATGAAAAAATTCACCCTTACTCTACTTTTCTATAGATATTACAGTTCATATACTCATATTTCTTTATCACAACACCAGTATTCATTATTGTTAAGTAACAAGTCAGTTGAAGTTCATAGTGTTGCTGCTGAATCCCTGGAACGTTAAGAACACTGGTCCACACCACCTCAAGAAGACAAGACAGCTTTTTTCAGCTTCTCTATTTCCACCTAAAATACAAAACATAAATTGAGAAACAGATAAAATATCCTTACTTTAGTAAAGTTTATTTTATTCTATATAATAAGGATGTGTGATCATACTTTCAAGCCTCCAGATTTTTATTTCCAGATCTAAAATCCAATTTCCTGGTTATACTTGTAATAAATATTGTTGAATCTAGATTCAACAGAAGAAAAACATCATAATAGGAGTTCCTAAATGGCAGTGATGACAAGAAAAAAGCAACTGAAATTCTTTTAGCCAGAACAATGTTAAGTAATGTGAGCAACCGAAATAGAACTGTAAGACAATCAGTTTTACAAAGAACAAAAGAACCCTTGAAATCAACTTAAGAAATGTACATGAATCTGTAATTAAACAAAGGGAGCATTATAGAACAGTAAAAAGTATAAAGAAAGGACCCATTTAGTCCCATGTTTTTCACTAATATCATATGTAATATTGATAAATCACTTAACTCCACTTGGTTTCAATTTCCTCATGTATAAAAAATATGTACTAAATTAATTTTTTTTTTTTTTGAGACAGAGTCTCGCTCTGTTGCCCAGGCTAAAGTGCTGTACCATCAGCCCAGCTCGCAGCAACCCCAATCTCCTGTGCTCAAGCAATCCTTCTGCCTTAGCCTCCGGAGTAACTGGGACTATAAGCATGTGCCACCATGCCTGGTTAATTTTTTTTATGTAAATATTTTTTAGTTGTCCAGCTAATTTGTTTCTATTTTTAGGAGAGATGGGGTCTTGCTCTTGCTCAGGCTGGTCTCTAATTCCTGAGCTCAAATAATCCACCCACACCTCAGCCTCCCAGAGTGCTAGGATTACAGCCACCACGCCCAGCCTAAATTATTTATAAAGCCCAGGAATACATCTAAGATTCAGCCAATGTGTTGGAAATATTTCTACCTTAACACTGAAGGCATCCTTCACTTAACAGAAATTCACAACTTAGGGAACTTAAAGAAGGAAATTAGTTCATTAAATTTTCATGATTAACTATAGAGTATTCTATTTTGACATACCATGTTTCCCCGAAAATAAGACCTACCCATATTCAATATCACTGTCTTTCATTAAAAAAAAAAAAAAAAAAAGACCTACCCATAAAATAAGTCCTAGCAGGATTTCTAAGCATTTGTGCAATAGAAGCCCTACCCTGAAAATTAAGACCTAGTGATGGGTGTGGCTGAGCAGCCTATCTGCACAAACCATGCATTTCGTAGTGGAGCAGTAAAGAAGACCAGCAGCCCTTCTCATCTGCCCCATTGTGACAGCTACTATCCCAGAGGTGACCAGAAAGGTGCAGGGAGCCCCATCAACAAGGTTGGCTCCCCCTGTCAGGTCTTGGCCATCCTGTGTGTGCTGCAAGCCGAAGCTTTGAGGGGAAAGTTTCCTCAGTGAAGTGAGGAGCAGGACACTCTGCTGTAGGTATTGTGTGTCAGCAGGGGGAAGGAGGAAAGCTGTGGCTGCCATTTTACTCAGCTCTGTGGGCCTCTCTCACCCCCCACAAACACCAGGGGATAGGGGGAAAGCTTCAGCAAGCGGTCTCCTACTAAGCCCAGAAATAATAATACATCCCCTGAAAATAAGCCCTAGTATCTTATATTTCTTGAGGAAATATAAGACCCTGTGTTATTTTCAGGGAAACATGGTACCACAAATGGCTAAGTTGAGGCTCAAAGACATTACATACCATGCCAATGTTTCCACACTAGCAAGTGGCACAAGACTTTTATTGGTAAGGTGTGGGGTTCTAAAGCCCATAGTTTTTGTACTGATTCTGTTCCCAATTCTATAATATTTTGATCATCTTTGACCTTTTATTGCATGAGGAAATATGTAGACCTTGCCTTCTCCTGATGGCGTCACCTCTCTTCTCAACAATGCACATAAACAATACATGCTTTGCCTAACTTCTGACAAATAGTTCGTTATTAAATGATGAGGACTTTGCCACAGTCAAGTATAATTTTGATATGCTCACACTCTCCTAAGGAATTCTTATCATCTAATAGCAATTTATTAATTTCAGGATCTTTCCTGATATAATTCTTTTAATAATATGATTGTCAGCTAAATGTTTTAGCAGCAATGGATTGGGACAAGCCTCCATCTTCAGCCTGGATTGAGATAAGATACTTTTAATTATCAGTCTAATGTGTTATTAGCACCTTTATGCCAAAGACAGCATTACCCAACTGTACCGATTTTAATGGGTGAGGATGCATAGAAAACAGTAAGAAAAACAAATCGGTAGAAGAGGGAAGGATACAAAGTCATTAATACTCATTACAAACTGCTATTTGTGATGTGAATTTAGTTATCAGGAAAATACACCACTAGAGTTTTTCTTTTAGCATTTTTATGTACATTGTTCATTTTTAATCCTTTTCATCATTTCCCGGTATAATTTAATAATGTATAATGTTAACATTATAGTAGTTCAAAGTACTACCTGTAATCTCTGGAGAAACATCTTTCTCTTTTAAATACATGATCCTAAAGCTTTAATGCCTTAAATGTGCTTTTACAAATATAAGGATAAAGCTCTGCCCATTAGGAAAAAATTTATAATACAAGTCAATAGGAGGCTAAGTAACAGCTGACATTGCTAGAGAAATAAAGTCAAATAAATTCTTCAAAAAAGAAACAATTCATTTGACTCTTATGATTTTTATGACAAATTAAGTCACATATACAAATTTAACACCATTAGTTACTCCTATCTAATCTTATTTTCATATATCAGTATGCACATGTATGTATGTATGTATGTATGTATGTATGTATGTATAAAACATAAGAAAAAAAGTCAAGAAATATTTAAAAGTTTCTCAATTTCTACCATGGTTGATACTGGGAATTTAAGATACATTTTTTATATGTATCCTTTAACATGCATTAATTGGGCAATAATTAATTAGATATATAATATGTGCATAGCAATGTGCCAGGAGTTATGGGCAAGATAAAATAGATATAGATCCCACCCCAAATAATCTTATAGTCTAAAAGAGAAGCAAAATAAGTACATAACAGTAATAAGATAGAAATTATTACTTATATATCTTTTACAAAAATAAAGAACATGTGAATTTGGGAAAAGACTAGATTACTTTTAATCAGAAGATGACTAGTATTAACTTAATAAAAGTGATCACTTGAGCGTGGCCCTAAGAATCTGTAGAATTTGGGCATTAGAAGATGAGGCAAAAGGACAATCCAAGAAAACACAGTAAGAGTAAAAATTCAGATGCATTAACTATAAGGCAGAATGGGGGATCAGTAAGTGAGTAAACAAAGCTAACCTAGGACCAGAATGTAAAAACATCTCATATATCAAGTTGAGACATTTGAACTTTATTCATCAAGTAATAAAAAGCTCTTCAAAGAATCTGGGCAAGGTAAGATTAATCCAAGATATCAATGAGAGAAATTCAAGCAAGCTAAACAGAAGACAACAAGCATTAGAACAAGACAGAAATTGTGGGAATAAAGAGATAAAGGTTAGAAGATAAAACTAATAGGACTAAAAGTGAATATAATTAGAAGAGAACAGAAGTACCATGTCTGCATGACTATATAGGCAAAAGAAACCATCAACACACACAGAAAATTAAAAAAAAAAAAAAAAAAAAAAAAAACAGGAAAGGGAGACAACAAATTTAACTGGGGACATGCTAAGTCTAAGTTCATGATAGAACATCCCTGGGGACTAATAGCAGGAAACATGGGATAGAAGCTAGGAAAGGGAGAAATGGATTCAGAGGCGAGATGTCCTAGAGCTAATCATTAGATTAATGGGTGTAGATGAATTATTAATAAAAAGTGAATGCACAGAGAGAGGGGCCAAGGATAGTAGTAAGGAAACATTCACATTTAGGTTCCAAGAAAAAAAAGAAGAGACAGAGAAGTCAGAGACAGAAGAATATAGTATCTATTAGTTCAATCAAGAAAAACCTCTGACAAAGTGGCAATGGTAAAAATGTGACACACCACAGAAAATGAAGAGGAGGCACTGACTTTGGCTAAATTGCAAGGGATTAAGGACTGAACTGGAAGTGAGAAATCAGAGATTGGAAAATACAGACTTTTTTTGAGGGGGTGGAGGTTATTTTTGTATTGCAACAAATGAATCCCAAATGAAAAGAGAAAGCAACTATAATACATCAAAAGGGCAGCTGGACCTAAAAGTGGGCTTCTCTTTGTTTCCCAATAAGGGGGAAAATTTCCATGCAAAGAAGTAAAGGTGTCAATAAAGAGGGTATGTGAGAAGTAAGAGTAAAAATGGAGTTGATAACTTACAAAGTGTGTTACATAATGGAAACAATAATCCTTACATGTTGTTATATGTATCTAATGAGGTAACAAAATGCTAAGCCTACTGATACATAGTTTAGACCTAAAAAGGCATGAGTCTAAGACAAAATAGGAACTCAAGTTTTCTAACTGCAAGTCCTATCTTTTCCCTTGTTCTGCCAAAAAAAAAAAAAAAAAAAAAAAAGAATAACTAATGAGGCAAGGTAAAAAGTAGGGGGAAGCACAAAATACTTAAATAGACAATAGGAAGGGCTCTGAAAAAAGGCGGAACACAACTTTCTCTGAAACATACAAAAAGAAGAATATAAATGAAAAACACAAATGAGTGAAAAGGAAAATAAAGGAAATAAGTGAAATGGCTAATCACTAGCAGAGAATGAAGACAAAAGTAAACTCTAAGCAAGAAATTAGTGAACTGACAGCCTTCTATCACTGCCATCAGTGCTGAAGGAAAAAAAATTCAATGGCAGAGAAAAAAGAACTATGGGCATACCTTGTTTTACTGCACTTCACTTTAATGTGCTTCATAATATTGCATTTTGTTCCTATTAAAGGTTTGTGGCAACCCTGCATCAAGCAAGTCTACCCATGCCATTTTTCCTACAGTATATGTTTAGTTCATGCCACAGTGTCACATTTTAGTAACTCAAAACATTTTCATTATTATTATATCAGCTATAGTAATCTGTGACCAGTCATCTCTGATGTTACTGTCAAAACTGTTCTGGGATGCAACAAACTGCACCCATATAAAACAGTGAACTTAAGATAAATGCTGTTTTCTCACTGCTCCATTGACTGGCCTTGGTCTCTCTCTCTCTCTCTCCTCGGGCCTCCCTAATCCCTGAGACACAATAATATTAAAATTAGGTCAACTAATAACCCTGTAATGGCTGCTAAGTGTCCAAGTAAAGGAAGAATCACAAGTCTCTCACTTTAAATCAAAAGCTAGGGCCGGGCGCGGTGGCTCACGCCTGTAATCCTAGCACTCTGGGAGGCCGAGGCGGGCGGATTGCTCAAGGTCAGGAGTTCAAAACCAGCCTGAGCGAGACCCCGTCTCTACCATAAAAATAGAAAGAAATTAATTGGCCAACTAATATATATATATATAAAAATCAGCCGGGCATGGTGGCTTGTGCCTGTAGTCCCAGCTACTCGGGAGGCTGAGGCAGGAGGATCGCTTGAGCCCAGGAGTTTGAGGTTGCTGTGAGCTAGCCTGACGCCACGGCACTCACTCTAGCCTAGGTAAGAAAGCGAGACTCTGTCTCAAAAAAAAAAAAAAAAAATCAAAAGCTAGAAAGAATTAAGCTAAGTGAGAAAAGCAATGTTGAAAGCCAAGACAGGCTAAAAGCTAGACCTCCCTCTTGTGCCAAAAAGTCAGCCAACCAGTGAATGCAGAGGAAAAGTTCATGAAGGAAATTAAAAGTACTATGCCAGTGAACACATAAACGATAAGAAAGCCTTATTACTGAAATGGAGAAAGTTTTAGTGGTCTGGATAGAATTCTGATCAAACCAGCCACAACACTGTCTTAAACCAAAGCCTAATCTAGAGCAAGGTTCTAACTCCCTTCAATTCTACTATGGCCGAGAGAAGTGTGGAAGCTGCAGAAGAAGAAAAATTTGAAGATAGAAGAGGTTGGCTCATGAAGTTTAAGGAAAGAAGTTGTCCTCATAAAAGAACAAGGTGAAGCAGCAAACACTGATGGAGAAGCTGTAGCAAGTTATCCAAAAGACGTAGCTAAGGTAACTGATGAAGATGGCTACACTAAATAATAGATTTTCAATGTGGACGAAACAGTCTTCTACTGGAGGAACATACACCATCATCTAGGACTTTCATAGCTAGAGAGAAGTCCATGCCTGGCTTTGAAACAATAGGCTGATTCTCTTGTTAGAAGCTAATGTAGCTAGTGAAGTGGGAAAAAAAATGCCCATTTACTTTTCTGCAAATCCTAGGGCCCCTAAGAATTATGCTAAATCTACTCTGCTTGTGTTCTAGAAATGAAACAAAGCCTAGATAACAGCACATCTGTACCCAGCATCATGTACTGAATAGATTAAGCTTGCTGCTGAGATTTACTGCTCAGAAAAAAGATCCCTTTCAAAATATTACTATTCATTGACAATCAGTCATCCAATACCTGTGATGGAGACATACAAAGAGATGAATGTTATTTTCATGTCTGCTATCACAATATCCATTCTGCAGCCCATAGATTAAGGAGTTATTTTGACTTTCAAGACTTATTATTTCAGAATTACATTTTGTGAGGCTACAGCTGCCAGATTCCTCTTACAGATCTGAGCAAAGTAAATTAAAATCTTTCTGAAAAGGATGCATCATTCTAGATACCATGTTGTGAGAAGAGGTCAAAATAACAACATTAACAGGAGTTTGGAAGAAGCTGATTCCAACCCTCAAGGATGACTTTGAGGGGTTCTAGATTCAGTAGAGGAAGTAACTTCAGATGTGGGGTAAATAATAAGAAAACTAAAATTAGAAGTGGAGTCTGAAGATGTGACTGAATTGCTGCAGTCTCATGATCAAACTTGAAAGGATGACAAGTTACTTCTTATGGATTAGCAAAGAAAGTGGCTTCTTGGGATAGAATCTACATCCTGGTAAAGATGTTGTGGACGTTATTGAAATGACAACAAAGGATTCTGAGTATTCCATAAACTTAGCTGACAAGGCAACAGGATAATTTCGAGAGGACTGACTCCAATTTTTGAAAAAAGTTCTGTGGGTAAAATGCTATCAAATAGCATCACATTCTATAGAGAAATCTTTCATGAAAGTAAGAGTCAATCAACGTGACAAGCTTCACTGCTATCTTATTTTAAGAAATTGCCACAGCCATCCCACCTGTCAGCAACCACCCTCTTTGGCCAGCAGCCACCAACACCGAGGCAGGACACCCTTCACCAGCAGAAAGATTATGACTTACTAAAGGCGCAGATGATTGTTAGCATATTTTAGCAATAAAATATTTTTAAGTTAAGGTATGTACATTGTATTTTATTAAGACATAGTGCTATTGCACACTTAATAGTCTACTTTATATCACTGAGAAACCAAAAAATTCTTTTGACTTGTTTACTGTGATCTCTGCTTTATTGTGGCAGTAGTCTGAAACTGAACCTGCAAAATTTCTAAAGTAACCTTGTATAGCTCCAGGAGGAACTAGAGTCTTTTAGGAAGCAATAATCATATTTGCTTTACCCATGAATGTATCCCTTGTGATTCAAATACTGCCTAAGAAAGTTAGTGCTCCAAAAATATTTACTGTATAAATGAATGGAATGTGACAGGCAGTTAACAAGATTTTAATTAAATGGCTACCAACCAGAAAGGAGTATCCAACTCAAGTAGGACAGCATAATTTTTACTGGAAGCAACCAGTCAGGTTGCAAAATACATGTCCAGTTTACACTGACTAAAATCTCAACGATGGAAAAAATGAATTACCTCTAGATTACTTCTCATTGCTTTTTCTTCTTCTAAATCTTTTCGCAGTTTTTCCAGTTCTTTCCTGAAAATAAAGTATTTATTATTGTTAACTCTTTCAATTAAACAATCTGTTTGACTTATGTTAACAAGATCTCTGGTGCCTAACATCCTACCAAACAAAGAAAACTTTTTAAGAGTAATAGCAATGCTGACTGAGAAAAAAATCAAATTCTCTAGTTTGAATGGTTCAATATAACAGTTAAAAAACAAAGTAAAACTGTGGTAAGCCTATCTAAGATAAAGAAATTAAGTGAACTGAGAATAGCTCATGATAAAATAAAGAAAGAAATAATACCTGGCTTCTAAAAGCAATTTTACATAATCAGCTGTCATACATGTTCCAGGCTGGAGATCCAGAGCCCAAGCAATTTAGTAAAGTAAGTATCAACACATATCACAATACAAGGAAAATTATAGTTTACTTGATAAAGATAAACCAAGCTTTAAATTTTTTTCTACTTTTAAAAATTAAATATTAAATTAAAATCCCAAAGCTAAACAAATTAAAAACTCCAGCCAATAATCCCCCTACCTCAATTCATGTTTTCATTTTCTTGTGTTCCCTTCTTTCTATACAGTTGTTTGTCCCTCTATAGATAAAAGTATGTATTTTATATTGTCTCTTCATGAATTATTTTAAAATTTTCCTTGCTGCTAAAGTTTTCATATTTGTGATAACTGCTATTTGGTATTCAAATATCCAGGGTTTTTATTTATTAGTTTTTCTGGGGACAGAACAGAGATTTTTCCAGGTAAGAATAGGGATTTTACTTAACACCATGAATATGTTAGCATATCATATTTATATATCAAAAAGTATGGACATTTTCAGTCTCTTAATATATAGTAGAAAAATTCTCTTCAAGAATACTGTAGAAGGGCGGGTGCCGTGGCTCAGGTCTATAATCCTAGCACTCTGGGAGGCCAAGGCGGATGGATTGCTCAAGGTCAGGAGTTCGAAACTAGCCTGAGCAAGAGCAAGACCTGTCTCTACTAAAAATACAAACAAATTAATTGGCCAACTAATATACATAGAAATAATTAGCCGGGCATGGTGGTGCATGCCTGTAGTCCCAGCTACTTGGGAGGCTGAGACAGGAGGACTGCTTGAGCCCAGGAGTTTGAGCTTGCTGTAAGCTAGGCTGATGCCACAGTACTCACTCTAGCCTGGGCAACAAAGTGAGACTCTGTCTCAAAAAAAAAAAAAAGAAAGAATACTGTAGAAATAACGACTTGAAAAAGTAAAAAAAAAAAAATCTCACGAAGAAAGAATAGATAAGGAAGAAATTTAAAAATTATTTATATATTTAATATTTCAAAACTAATTTCTTCGAAATAAGAGAATCATTTCTCCATATTGGAAATAAATTCTTTACTGGTTCCTACTGATTATAAATTTCAAAATAATATTTAACTCAAATTTACCTAGGGCTTATTATAGAATGTGATATAAAAAGCACATCTTAGTTAACTGAATATTTCCATAAAGTATCCCTAATTTAAATAATGGTTCCTCTTCTGCTTAGTCAATATTTTGTATTTATTATACCATTAAATCTATATCTAAATTAAGATCTATTTCTAGAATATTTGTTCCATTCTGTTTATATCTGTAATAGTATATTATTCTATTTGCTTTTTGATCTGATAATTTAATGCCACTCTTATATTTTTTGTTCTTTTAAAAAATGTTTACAAATGTACAATTTTTGTATAATATCCTGTTTTCTTTTTACAAGAATATGATCAAACTATACATCTTATTCTCCAACTTTTCTACTGAAGGCACAAATTACTAATGTATTTCTATCAATCTTTCTATACGAATCTCCTTCAATTTTTTAATTACTTGTTCTATGTATTTTAGGTTTTAATATTAAATGCATATGGACTATTTATGTATTTACAAGCTATAGGCTATAAAGATATAATGGTAAAGCAAAAGAACTTCAAGTCAGCTTAAATAAAATATTACCAGTATAGTACATCTGATACCCCAAAGTGACCTTCATCTACCTCCTCTCTTCCATAGGAAGTTTTATGATATTTATTATTCATTTGCTCTTCTAATTTTATCACATATACAAATATATCTTAAAACAATATGTTTTCTGGTTTGGTATGCTTTTCAACTTTATATAAATGGAACAATAGTATATGTATGCTTCTGACCTGCTCCCAGTGTTTAGATAAATTCATGTTCATGCATGTAACCACAATTACTTTATTTCCACTGCTGTATGCTGAATAGTATTTCTCTAATTAATATACCAGTATATATTTGTTCATTGTCCTAATGTTCTTTTTTAAATTTAAAAAATTGTCACCCTGTTTCATTTTTCCAGAGCAACTCACATTAAAAATACACTCTGGAGAGGCTTCTAAAATATCTGATATATGTTTAAAAATACATATAAATCAGAAATATTTTATTCACACTTTAGCTAATTTAAAAGCACCTACAGGCAATGTATATGTGTAAAATAGCACACTTGGTATGAAAAATGTAAAACAATAAAATAAACAAATCAGGAGTGTTCTCTAATGTCACATAGTGATGCTCAATAAATATTTACTGAATGAACTTACAGCTTATATCAATAATATGGATACTGCAGAATCTGTGAAAAAATGTTCAAAACAGCTAAACTAAAGGATTCAATACCTATCATGTATCAGATTACAAACTATATACATTATATGTAATATATAAACATATATATATTTTTTAAGTAGTCATTCAAGAGATACTTTTTGTTTCCAACTAAGATACTATAACAGTGTTCTGCAAACTCCAAATACCTCATATTAATCTCAATATTGTTTTTAATAAGAATCCTAGGCCAGTTTAGAATTGAGGTACTCGAGTAATGGTAAAATCAGGCTCAGAGACAACATGGCCTCTGGCCATGATTTTTATGCCATATTCCAAGAAATCCTTGTAGAGGGCAAGTAGGAAATAGTGAGTGAGCACCCTCACCCTCAGTTCAATTACATTAGCTGTTCTTTGATCTGTTTTACCTACTTTTGCAAATTATGCTTAAAACATCAACAAGTTTTAAAATTCAAATACTAGTGGTTATAGAAAAGATCTCCAAACCAACAGATGATATGAGTTTGAGTTCTAGATCTGTCATTTAAGAACCGTGTGCCTAGCACTCTGGGAGGCCGAGGTGGGTGGATTGCTCGAGGTCAGGAGTTCAAAACCAGCCTGAACAAGAGCGAGACCCTGTCTCTACTATAAATAGAAAGAAAATTAATTGGCCAACTAATACATACAGAAAAAAATTAGCCGGGCATGGTGACACATGCCTGTAGTCCCAGCTACTCGGGAGGCTGAGGCAGTAGGATCGCTTGAGCCCAGGAGTCTGAGGTTGCTGTGAGCTAGGCTGCCGCCATGGCACTCACTCTAGCCTGGGCAACAAAGTGAGACTCTGTCTCAAAAAAAAAAAAAAAAAGAACTGTGTGATCTTGGATAAATACCTTTACCTCTCCGACCTTTCATTTTTTTTCATTTAAAAAAAGAGAGGGATCACCTGTAGTGGCTGATCTTTTACATGTAGTTTAGTTCTAAAAAGTCCCTAATTTTATACCCTATCAAAAACTTCCAGAGTTAGGAGAAAGGCTGTAGACATCACCCATCTCAACCCATTCACTTTATACATGTCTAACTCAAGCCTAGCAGAAACAGGGATCAAAGTCCTCTAAGAAGTAACCTAACTGTACATCTGTACATACACAGATACAGACCAGATCCAAAATACAATAGGGCTGTCCTAATATTTCCAAAACTAATTAACCTGTGTCTAACCAGAAAATTTCTAGCCTAAAATCAGTCACATATGTACCTTTTCCATAACTGAGCTACTAGAGTAACTTTTGCAATCCAAGCTTTTTGCGAAAAAGACAAAAGCACCATTATTAAAATTTCTTTGAAAACATACTTGTTCGTGCCAGAAATTTGGTAGATCAGATCTTTACTTGATACAGTTTGAAAGAATTATTTACATTAATACATGTGTTAAGTGGCATTCGTAGGAGAAAACAAGGGCTACTTACTCATGATCTTTTTTCAGTGCTTCTACAATACACAGCAATTCAATAATCTGGGCTCTAAGTTCATCCAGGGAATTTTTTTTCCCATCATCTGTTTCTACTTTAGCTTTGGTTTCTAATGCAGTTAGGAAAGCAGATGTATTTGTTTTAGAAGCACTTGAAGATGTTGAAAGGTACGCAGATGGCTGAAAACATAATAAAAAATGTTTTTCTGATTTTAATTGTATTTATATTTAAAATTAAGTAATACTTCAAGATAAATGGTAAATTTGGAAATTCAAAAAGCAGTCTGATGTTCATAACTGGCAAAACCACCAGACAACCAAAAAATAAATTTGCAATGACCAGCAGTTTTTGTGGTAAATGACAGTGGCTTTATTAAAAGAAGAAAAATCCATCATCAGCTATATTTTATGGATGGTTTGCCCAATGCAGCATCTAGAAGAATATACCACCATTATTAAGATGTTATTTCAATCTTGCATATTAAATACCTATTGTTTAAAATATCCAAAGAGTCTCACTTAAAGGTAATTATGGGGAATTTACTAAGTTCATGGAAAGAAATTAAAATGAGCCTGGTACTCTTTTAGTATTTCACTAACAGCAAGTCATTTTAAATTTCAACAGACTGATGACAGCTGAGAGAATCAGATTAAGTATATTTAATAAATTGAAAAAGCAGTTAAAAATGCACTGAAATGAAATGGAGGAATAATTTAGGAGGAAACATGACCGTTTTAAAAATGTGTATCAGTTGTGATAAAACTATCTTAAGTAGAAACGGCCAAAGTTTAGAAAAAACACTTAACACCATGTAATAGATGGATTCACGTACAATATCCTGCCATTCATTCCAGTATATATTGAATGCTTAAATTATGGTGCTAAACACCAAGCCAGGTAAGCAGTATACAAGTGGTGGTTTCTCACTTAAGAGTATATGTTTAATGGGAAAATGAAACAGATGTATAGATCTATGTACGTTTTACATACAAGATATGTAATATTTATATTATTCATTTAAAATAATTTAAGCTCCTCTAAAGAGATTTGCACTGAATAGTGTGACTAAACTTTAACAACTCAATTTTTCAACAGGAATTATCTTATTTCTTGACAGAAGAAATAATTCTTCTTAAAGAGCATCTTAAATTCCATAATTTTGATGTTCACAAAGAATCCCACAAATTTACACAAATCTTAGACCACAATGCACCTCACCTTTGGAGACTGGCATGTATCCTTTTTTAATTCAGATGGCTTTAGCTTGGCACTATCTTCTTCTTTTGGTAGCTTCAAGGTTTTTTCTGGGCTTTGAGTTGGCTAAATGATTTTTTAGAAATCAAGAGACAGAAAAAAGAAGGAAAAGATAGTAAGCATGTGGATAATAAAGCAAATAATTTTTATGGCTTTATTTTCAGCTGCTACTGTTCCTGATATTCCATTATTGTTAACAGGATATAATTTCAAGCTGAATAACACATCCGCATATCTTCAGGGTAAAAACGGCTTGCCTCTTTGCAACAAAAATTTTCTCCACTTAGGTCATTTAAAAGCACTTCGGTGCTTATGAAAATATATTAACATTAAAGCACCACCAGTACTCCAGGCAAAGTACAAGAAGCATAAAAAGAAGTTATACATTTAAATACTAAGACAACACTACAAAAAGACTGAATATTTTAGGGGAAAACAAGTTTCTCAATCTTTCCTAAAATGAGTATCTACTGCTTAATTCTAATCATTGTTGTTGAACAGACAGATTAAACAGGTTCCCTGTCCCCCTTTGACCCTTTGTCCTGTTATCTAACAACTCCTTATTTCTGATTCTGTAACCACCTATTCCAGGCCCTCTTAAAATGAACAAATCTCTTTCCCAATATCTCCTTAAATAACAGCCATTTGAGTATAACAGCTATCTCCCTGATTTTTAAGGTAGAGTTATAAATCCTCTCTCATTTTTATCTTCAGATAGACTCTCTAACTGCTAAATCTTTTGTTTTATGACAGTAAGTGTAACTCACAGAATGTCCACCATTGAAGCGGCCAGGCAACCTTCTTCCAGGCATTTTGGGTCTATTTGCAGTGAGATGTAGCAAGTTTTCTGAGGAAGCTATGTCATCAAAATTTACAACATCTAGAAAATAAAAATAAACATTATCTACGTAACTGTACCCTTTAAAAGGTAAAAAAATGTTTCATTTTTTGGACAAACTATAAATTAAAAAGAATACCACTACTTTGAAGGACTCACAAGTTGACCTGTGCTTTTCATATGCATTTGGAAAACAACATTTGCCCTTCAAAAAAAAAAATTCTCTTTACCTGATACATTTTATAGTGTACAACTTTATTAATGTAAGGGTTACATTTCCAATAGAGACTCAGATGTCAACAAAAAAATTCTTAAAGATAAATCTATACTATAAATTTTAGTAGCATGAGCTGTCAACTTAAATTCTTGCTTTTAAAAAAAAGTTCTACTTCTTAAATTCATAATAAATTGCAACATCAGAAATTTTACATGTAAAATTTGTCTTAAACTTCAAGTAGTGGACTAATTCAAATGTTAAAGATTCAACAATATCTGGCACCCTGCAGCTATATATTGCATTTCTCAATGTAATGCAGATGCATGATTTAATGTGCCTTTACATATGTATATATGTATGTGTATAGTATGTTACAGCTGGGACTAAAACTTTTTATAGCTCACTGCACCTCTGCTTAGACATTACTATATTTGGGAATCATAAGATAGTCCTAAATCTAAGGCAAATCAGATGCCAAGGAAAAATGATACATAGGTCACCAACTTGCTTCTCCACCATCAAAAGCTGGCTGACCTTTCATGTGGTAACTTGGGTTTAAGAAAGGTAACAAGGGTAATTCACATCTCTGAAACAATGGGATACTTTTATTCTAGATGGTCTAGAAAATCTTGCTAATTTCTTTAACTCTGAAGCCCAGATATGTGATACAAAAAAACCTACAGGTAAATTCCAGATAGTTCCATTGTCAGTATAACCTTTCTTTAGCCCAGATTCCAAACTTGGGATATTAACCATAGCCAAAACGGTCTACAAGTCAGCAGGTATCTTTAGTCTAATCTTCCAGGTCTAGATTCATTCTTCATATTACCATTTACCTAGATGTTTCTAATACTTCTGTCAGATATTTAGATGTCCCAACTCAGTTACTGTTACTTCTTAAAAGAGATCTAAAGATATTCAACATTACCACCCTCAGTTTACTCATCAACATTCATATACAAAGTAATTTAGAGGATTTTTTTAAGAGATGGAGGACACAAGAGTAAGGCAGAAAAAGAGGCATCACTGTTTGGCAATATGCATTTTATCACAACTAGAAGTATTTGTTGACTACTATTAACTTTTTTCCGACCTAAAAAAATTCGTGTTCTATCTTTGATCAAACCACTAAGTTTATTCATCAAAAGACACTAATATGTTTGGTTTAATTTTTGAGTCTTTGGATAAATGTCTATGATTATAAAATATAGCAAACTATAATAAGAAATGAGCAACTTTAAAGGAAAATGCATCGTATAATCTGAAAGAGGCTGAATTTAAATATATATCTAAATGTCATTTTATTTGTAAATATAATGAAATCAGTATTTTAAAAAGATGTTTAAAACATGTCATCATTTGAAGGGTTAAAAATTGGTTTTTACACTGATAAGTATTCATTGACAACACACGAAATAAAGCTTGGTAAGTACAATCAAATCATTTTAGCTTATAGAGATTATTTTCAAATGCATATTTAAGCAACTTGCAGAAAGAAAAACAAACAGGAAAACATTAAAAAAAAGATGAAGAGAAATGAAACCAAAAGGATAAATAAAACATAAATTTACAAAGCTATATACCATGCTCATGTGAAATATCTTCTGTATGTCCAGTTTTGGGCTACAACACCAAGACAAGTAACTTTACTATTCTAAAACTCTCTCAGGTTCTCCATTTAGACCATTAGGTTAGTAAAATGGAACAGTGCACATTTTGTACTCAAGACATATCTAAGTGCTTTTAAATTTATCTAAGAGTGATAACAATGGATTAACACTGTACATATGGCATACAAGGCCTGACACTCATTTAACTCTTGCAATCACATTTGTCACTCTGCCAGCCACTTAACATTTCCACATGTTGCTAGGAAGACATGGAATTTTTAAAAACCAAAACATAATATCCAATTTAAGAAGAAAATAAACTGATTTTTATGGTTGCCAATTGTTTAAAAAACAAAGAATATTTTAAACTAGTCAGAAAAATTTTTCCAAAATGAATTTCATTTTAAAATGGAAAACCAAAAGGGTTAGAATAAAGACAGACAAACATGTACACTTTCAGTAAAATTACAAAGAAAAATCAATGTGCACCACCTATTTATATTGAAAATATTATTTTAATTTCTTTGATAAATTTTCATCTTACCAAAATGGAGAAGGGTAGAATAATTTCCTGACACGTAAGAAGGGAAACATGGCAAACAGGCTAGGAAACAAAATCTGGAAAGAAAAGTCAAGGATAGGAATGTCTAGAAAAAAGACTTAAACCAAAAAAATTATTTCACAAAGCAGGAAGAAGGAACAGTTGTAGAATGAATAGAACCATTTCAATGTTTTGCTTATAGCTATTGCAGGTTAGCTAAACTTACATAGAGTGTGTACTAGATTTTAGATTTATTCTTTTTTCTTTCAAAGGGAAAAATTAAGATTAGTATTAATTTTCAATATACATGAAACTAGAAAGAAGTTTTGTTTTATTATTCACAGAGCACCAACACAGCTTCCAAAAGGATAGGTTAGTGCTTAAAGGGGTAATAATAATAAATATTAACATCTCAATATAGTTATAACTCAAACCACCTTTTAGTCAAGTTTTAGTTTTTAGCACATACAGTAATTACAATGGAAGAGGTAATTTTAATTACATGGGTATCATAAAAGAAAAATATATCAAATATTTTAAATATCTCACTATAAAACTATGACTCAATACAACCTTTAAAATATCTAAGATACATATAAATTCACTAACACCTTCTATGATACTCATTCTCTATAAAATGATATGATTAAGGAAACTATTAGAAATTTAATATTTTTTTACCCTAGTTTAGATATACTCAGTTTTTATAGTGTATGCAACCCAACAGACACCTTATTAAAAAAATCCCACCATAAATTCTTTCTAGAAGAAATAAATGAGTAAATACTAGGAAAGTAATTCAAACGAAAACAAATCAACTACCAAATAAAAGTGAAGAGAAAGAATGTGTTTTCTTATTCAACAATGATTACATTTGGATCAAATAATGTATGTTTCTCTAAAATTTTCTTTTAATCATAGAATAATTTATTGCAAAAAATAATCAAAAGAGGTAAAATATTACACTCTGAGGAAACCTCATCAGCGGGATTTTCTCAATGCAATAGCTATGTTACTACTAAATTTTCTATCATGTATTTTAAAACTAATTTGAAAATAGTTTTACTTTTTAGACAATTTACTATTTTAGAGATATTTGGACAATGCAAAATTATAATTTATTAGTAGTGGCAGAGATATTTTCCTTAAACCAATTTTTAAGGAAGTGTTTGGAAAAGAGAAAAAAAAATTTTAAACATGGTTCCTACCAGCTCTGCAATTTATAGCACTATCTTATATATGAGAATATACATGAAGAAACTTAAAAGTTATTTCATGTCATTAAACTAAAAACAGAAACCTGAGTATTCTAGGCATGTCTTTCTTACATGTACAAAAGTCAGAGTCTGTATTTATATACATAGTTATTATATATATATACATATATATATACACATACACATAAATGTTTATATGTGGCTTTATAAATAGGAAAATCATATCTGAGAATAGAGTCAGGAATATATACCTTTTATAGATTAGAGCAGAAACCAAATGAGATGGGTTTTACAATGGAGAAGGAAGGACAGAGGGAAAACAACATTTATAATAACTTCCATGTCAGGTCTTCTAATAGGTACAGAAGATACACTGAATTGTTAGTTAAGCAAGAAAACAGATTAAGAAAATAACTATGACTGATTAGCTAATAAATAAAACCCATTTTCTTAACAGCAAAGTCAGTGTACTTTCTACTATACCATTTCACTTCAAATTACTTTACATAATAATCAAGCTCTCAATAAGAGGTTTTCATGTTTTAAACTTTGTGAAACTTACATTAAAAGGGATAGTTTCGTATTATTTAAAAAATGTAAAACCTCAAACTAAGCCAAAATATAAACTATGTCTCACCTAATGCCTAATTTGAGGCTGCATTTAAGACAAAACATGTTTTTTTTAAAGGTGTTAACATTTCTTGCAGAAGAAGTAGAGCACATTACATTACTACATTACAGATAGTAGGAATATATGATATTCTAATGAATAAAAGGAAGAGCCTCTGAATTGATGTTTAGACATAAGCATTTGCTGCCATCAACTATGTCTTTCATCTTGGCATTCTACTGTGCCTAAAACACTGGTGACTATTTACTCACTTAGTAAATATTTGGTACTTAACATGAACTCCATCACCAAAGTTTTTATTTTCTGAACTTCTCAGGGTATAAGCGTAGTACACCAAAGGTAGTGTAGAAGTGGAAGAAATAAGAACAGCAGCTTGGAAGTTAGTTGTTAGTTTTCTGACTTGGATAAGTTCCAGCATCTATAGATTATTTCCTTATTTATTTGAAGAAGAACAACAACAAAAAAAAAACTAGAAGTTTTCAAACCCTGCTCCACAAAGCCTCTTTGTTTATTGAAATGAAGAGTAAGTAATGACTATGAATAAAAGACAAAAATAGAGTCCAAAAACCAAGTAAATGTTTCAACTCAATAATTTGAAACATGTATTATTTTCACTAGGAATGTAGCAAAGCAAACAAAACTTGTTAGTGAATGTATACATAAGTTTTTTAAAAAGTAAAAATTTATTTTCATTTGCCTAAAATTTTTTAAAACGTCCACTATCCTGAGATAAACTAAATAAAGCACATGTTTAAGAATGATATAAAGCAACAGATAAATACAGATTCTAGATGTTACTCCTTCAATTCCCAAAGAGACTCCATCAAAATTTAAAATTGTAATAAAAATTCCAGAAAATTGTGAAAATTGAAAATATATTTCCTGAGTTAAAATTGTGAAAATAATGTTTTTCTTCAATTATTATTTTTGAAGATAATTTCTAGCTATATTTTAAATCAAACAGAAGACATGAACTAATAAAATTCTGCTTTTTACTACTAAGCTCAATAAAAAGGAATGTAGGATATTTTTTTAAAAACATGGAGAGGATTTTTTAAAACGTATTTAACAATACATTTGGCCAGGCACAGTGGCTCATGCCTGTAACCCTAGCACTATGAGAGATGGAGGCAGGAGAATTGCTTGAGGTCAGGAAGTCCAGCCCAGTCTGAACTAGAGCAAGACCCATCTCTACCAAAAGTAGAAAAAATTAGCCAGGTGTGTGGTGGCTCACACCTACAGTCCCAGCTACTCAGGAGGCTGAAACAAGAGGATTGCCTGAACCTAAGAGTCTGAGGCTGACACCACTGCACTGGCAGGCGGGGGGGGAAGGGAAGTAGGAAGGGAAGAAAGGCAGAGGGGAGAAGGGAGGGGAAATTATCACCAGATAAAACATACTGAATATGTTTCAGTGGATTTCTCTAAAATACAATCAACATCTCAATTCTCAGAAATTAGTAATGAATATAGCCCTCATCCAGAGCAAGCAGGATCCAAATATAAAGGACCTACAAAGTATTCAAACTAAAAGACTGAAAGAAGTCACACTTAAGTCAGAATCTTTGCACTAGCAAACTAAAAAGAGGGAAGAAAAATAAGATCACCTGAAAAATTTTGAAATGTAATAGTACATTTTATAATACAGTGACAAAAAACATCTAAGTGTAATTGGCTTTGAAGTTTATATGTAAATATGAAATGTTAACAGTGAAGCCATTTAAGACATTAAGATTTTCTGAGGAATATCACAAGTGTGTTGGGCACAGTGGCCGACACCTGTAATCCTAACACTCTGGGAGGCTGAGGTGGGAGGACTGCTTGAGGTCGGGGAGTTCAAGACCAGTCTGAGCAAGAGCAAGACCCTGTCTCTACAAAAATTTTAAAAAATTAGCTGGAGTATGGTAGGGCACCTATAATCCCAGCTACTTGGGAAACTGAGGTAGGAGGATCGCTTGAGCCCAGGAGTTTGAGGTTGCCGTGAGGTATGATGATGCCACTGTACTCTACCAGGAGCCACAGAACAAGATGGTCTCAAAAAAAGAAGAAAAATAAAACACCATAGGAAATTTAAAGAGTTCTCTTTGGATTTAAGTGATTGTGTATATTCAATGTGTCTGTGGCTTACTTTGTTTAAACACAAAATATAGCATCTGCTTCCTAGAGTTACTGTAAAAATAAGAACACACATGAGAAAGTGCTCTGAAAAATGTAAAAGACTAAAAATAATTGCAAAGCACTATACAAAATAATAACCATTACTACAAATTAAGATTGTACAATGTTTTTAAAAGTGAGACTTTCATCAAGACTTCTCTGCTTCAAGTTTTCCATTTTGCAACTAATAGCTATAAAAGACCAGAAATTACCTGGTAGACAAAGATGATTAATGAGCTGAAAGATCCATCCTAAAGCTTAAAAAATAACATTTAAAAAAAGAAGTGAAGTCTGCCAACATGTAGAGTCATAAAAAGCTTATTTTCTTGTATTGGAAACAAAAGTATCTCCAGATAAGAGAAGAAATTTTGAAAGTCTCATTATATAATCTAATCTGGCATTGAAAAGTCTATACCACCTCATTTTTAAACTTTTAAAATTAACATGTATTCCTATCTGCCTGAGTTAGGTAATATGGTCATACCATTATGAAGGGATAGACTAACGGATGGATGATCCTTTTGTAACATTCATATCAGTTCTCTGCCCATTATAAAAACTTATCCATTTCACTCCTCCAATCAGTAAGGAACCTCTGACTAAGAAGAACCATAAAAAATTTACCTATATTAGGGCGTTTCAAGTTTAAATTTTTCTACTTTGGCTACTAAATTTTAAACAAATTCCAATTATGTAATTTCCACTAAATCTATCCACACACAAACTGTATCTACATATTTTACATACTTTCTGAAAACTATATTGACAACTTTTTTAATACACCACCTTTGTCCATGCTGACTTACCTGTTTCCTTAGAGCTCTTTACTACAAATGAATCAAGGTCTACTGACTTTGGTCTAAGTGGCAACTGCTCAAAATCTGGCTTTGGTTTTGATACTGGCTCAGTTTCAAATTTTGATGAAATGGTAGAAACATCCCCATTCATCCTGAAATGAGAAAAACATATGCATAAATCACTTATATGTGAAATATGACTTTTTAAAATTGTGATTTAATAACATTAAAGATTTTATGGCATAATAGTGATTACTTTCTATTCTGGAAAACTATTTGCATAAATGTAAACCTTTACTCTAGACAGATCACAATAAAATCAAAATGTAAAAATAATTTAATGACTTAATATAAAATGCTAATTTATATGCATCTATTGTGAATATTAACACTTAACAGAATTATTAAATTCAAGAGAAAATATGGATAATACTTAAAAAATAAAACTGCAACAACAGAGGGACTGATTTGAGGGCAAGCAACAGTGCTAAGTCAAAAAGTGTAGATTGTTCTGCATTTAAGTTTATTGGTGGTGTAGGGAGCTGTAGGGTGGGAGGGCTGGAGCCAGAGGCTAAGGGAGCTGTTCCTCCTTGATTTCCTACAGAATCTGAGTGATCAGCTGCTGCATGCGCATATTGGGGAAAGACAGTGCTGATACCTTTGACAGTCCTGGGTAGCTGAGGCCCACCACACCCTGGGGCCATCACTCCAATCAGGAAATCTTCAGAGGGTTATCAACCAGGCCAACTTTATTCCAGAAAGCCAGATTGCCTGCCTTCATATGGGGAAGTGCCAGTTTGAGAACCTCTCTATATTATACAAAAGCCAAAAGAGGTCATCTTTGGAGTATCTGCCCTTTTACTCATCTTTCTTATACTTCTGTTTTAGCTTTAGTTTGGGGTTCCATTGTCTTCAGTATTTTCTGCCTTTCCTCTTAACCTCTGGTCAAGTTCCCAGCATATCTGCTCCTGGATCAGCCTCTACTGTTCCTCCAGCTGCTGGGAACACTCTCCTAAAGTGTTCAATCTCTTGCTCTAGAGTTCTGATGCTCTGGCTCTCCCCCTTCTTCCTCATTCACTTGGGCCTGGGCCTGCCACTCCTGGGCCTCCAGGTAAAGCTTCACTTTCTTCCTTTTCTCAAGTCTCTTAGTCCTTTCTGCTTCCTGCTTCTCGGTCTTCCTAATCTTATCATATGCAGCTCTGGATACAGCAATCTAAAGTACTTTCAAGGCCTGAGAAAGCTAGTGAAAGGATTCAGCTGCTCTGAGATTATCTAGATTTCTGTCTGGGTAGCAGGAGGGGGCCTTCTGCCTATACACCTCTTTCACCTCTTTTCCTACTACCTTTGCTTCAATGCCTAGCAGCATGTGCAAGTCCATGCATAAGGGCTCCTTAGTCATTGTCATGGTTTCAACACTGACTGGATTTGTACTAGAACTCCCAAGAGTCTCAACATGTGTGGGGACTGCCAAGTACAAGCTGGCAGAATGGTGCTCAGCCCCTGAGAATTCACTCTTGCATTTTAATAATTAAAGCTCCAGGCAGGTGTGGTGGCTCACACCTGTTATCCTAGCACTCTAGGAGGATTGCCTGAGGTTAAGAATTAGAGACCAGCCAAAGCAAGAATGAGACCCCCTGAGACCCTCATCTCTGCTAGGAATAGAAAACTAGCTGGGCCTGGTGGCACAAGCCTGCAATCTCAGCTACTTGGGAGGTTGAAGCAGGAGAATTACTTGAGCCCAGCAGTTTGAGGTTGCTGTGAGCTAGGCTGATGCCAAGGCACTCTGGCCCAGGTAATACAGCAAGACTCAGCCTCAAGAAAAAAAAAAATGATCCTGAGATTCGCTTTACTAAAGAAAAAAAAAAAAAAAAAAATAAAAAAAAAAAAAAAAAAAAAAGCTCCAATCAAATCATCAGAATCTGCCTGTGATCTCTGTGTATATATCCAGCTCTCAAACTTGTTTTTAATCTCTTTGGATGTTATTTACAACATTAAAATAAATTTTAACTTTTGAAAAAAAATTAAAAAGATAAAAGTATTGGCAAGGATATGAGGAAAAGGGAATCCCTGTACACAGTTGATGAGAATGTAAATTACTACAGTCATTATGGAAAACAGTATGGAAATTCCACAAAAAATTACAAACAGAAGTACTACATGATCTAGCAATCCCATTAATGGATATATATTCAAAGAAAATGAAATTAGTATATGAAGAAATACCTGCATTCCCATATTTACTGTAGCACTAGGCATAACCACCAAGATATGGAAACAATCTAAGTGTCAATGGATGAATTAATGAAGAAAATGTAGTCTACACATATAATGAAATACTATTCAGCCATAAAAAAGAAGGACATCTTGCCATTTGTGACAATGTGAATGAATGTGAAGGACATTATGTTAAATGAAATAAACCAGGCACGGAAAGACAAATACCATATGATCTCACTTATAAGTGAAAGCTAAAAAGCTGATCTCACAGAAGTAGAGAGTAAAATGGTGGTTACCAGAGCCTGGGGTGGCTAGTGGGCAGGTAGGCGGGTCAGTAGGGTAAGGTTGGTCAAAGGATGCATGAATACATATTGAGATAAGAAAAGTGTAAGAAATCTATTGTATGGCATGGTGACTATAGTTAATAATGATATACTGTGTTCTTGAAAACTGCTAAGAGTTGATGTTAAGTGTTTTCATCACAAAAATGATAACTATATGAGGTAACGCATTTGTTAACCACTTCGGAACAGCGCTCACCGGCCAGGAAACCTTGCCCACAGCCAGCACTCATAGTCCGAACGATAGTTTGTGCTGTGCATTGACGACAAATCTGTTTTGCTCTTGTGTGATGAGGAAAGCTTGAAAGCACTGAAAGCTTGTTTTACTTTACAGGCAGCTTTACTTGTAATGTAAATATCAGAATACATACCATATACATATATGTTTTCATTACATTATTTTTAAATGTTCACAATTTTATTTTGATAAATGAAAAATCAGAAAAGTCATATCACAGCTATCGGCTAAGTTGACGCTCGGCTATGCGCCTTCATATCGGCTGTTGGTTAAAATCGCTGTGCGTGTTCATCTGTGGCTGTCGACTATAGTTGACGCTGGTCCCAAAGTGGTTTTAAGTAGTGTGACTGAAGCATTCCACAATGTGTGCGTGTTCATCTGTAGCTGTCGACTATAGTTGACGCTGGTCCCAAAGTGGTTTTAAGTAGCGTGATTGAAGCATTCCACAATGTATACATATTTCAAAACATCATGCATATGATAAATACATACAATTTTATATGTCAATTTGAAAAATAAGAAAAAAAATTACTTTAAAATTTAGAAAAGCAATAAAGCCATTTAGGTCAGGGTGGGTAAATCAAAAAGCTAATTTAAAATTACATGAAACTTACTTGGCCACAGGAGGTGGTGGAGGAACTGGTTTTTCAGGTCGCTTTGGGTACACTGTTCCAGATCTCAATAAACTATTGGCTTTGGTAGGTGGAGTAGGCTTCTTGGGTGGGACTTGTGGAGCTGCTGGTTTAGAAGGTTTCTGTTCCAGCGCTGATTTTTCATCTGATGATTAAAAAATATTTAAGAAGTTATTAACAATCAAAATTATTTAGGTTTTTCAATTTATCAAAGTTAAAGTCAGGCTAGAAAAGTATGAGACGGAGACAGACATTAACTTTTATTCTCTGTATTTGTGCATGTGTGTATTGCTTTATTTATTTTAAAGTTACATTTTATTTTCTTTTGAGACAGAGTCTCACCTTGTTGTCCCAGCTATAGTGCCGTGGCGTCAGCCTAGCTCACAGCAACCTCAAACTCCCGGGCTCAAGCGATCCTCCTGCCTCAGCCTCCGGAGTAGCTGGGACTATAGGCATGTGCCACCATGCCCGGCTAATTTTTTCTATATATTTTTAGTTGGCCAATTAATTTCTTTCTATTTATAGTAGAGATAGAGTCTCACTCTTGCTCAGACTGGTTTCGAACTCCTGACCTTGAAGGATCCACCTGCCTTAGCCTCCCAGAGTGCTAGGATTACAGGTGTGAGCTACCGCGCCCGGCCTAGTTATATTTTAACACATTGGCTGCCACATAAGAAAAAACTTTTTTTTCCTTGGGGCCACAGTGTTTTATTATAAAACAGAATAAAATTTGAAAACAAAACAATCCCTTCTAATTTAATAAAAAATTTATTATTTTTTACTATTTTCTGTGCATGAGTTATATGCAATGAAACTGTCAAAACTGTAACAGTAAGAACATTAACAAGTAAGATTTTCACTAAGCAACTGCAGTTACATATGCTTCATGAGGCCCCAGGCTCAAAACTAGCATAAATTAAATACAATTCACATGGCAGTTAATGTGTTAATAAAGCTAAATAGATTTTTAAAAAGAAAAAAAATTTGCTTTTGTGGAGGAAGTAACCACTAATAAGCTTCTGATTAACAAATAATGCCTGTTTTTTATTATGTTCTCAGCATGCTTGCCTTTTAGGGGTAGTATTCTATCTTAAATATAACCACATATGCTTTTACTCTAAGTAGAAAACTACCTAGACTTAAACCCAGACCATTTTCTGAAACTGAAATATAGGGAACTGAAAATAAATAGAACTTTGGTGCCACATAACATTCTAATTTAAAAATAATCATGACAAAGGAAAAAAATGAAATGTTAAGAGAAACTGAGGCCAGGCACTGTGGCTCACACCTATAATCCTAGCATTTTGGGAGGCCGAGGAGGGAGGATCACTTGAGGCCAAGAGTCTGAGACCCAGCCTGAGCTAGAATAAGACAAATCTCTACAAACAACAGAAAAATTAGGCAGAGGCATGGTGGCACGTTCCTATAGTCCCAGTTACTCTGGAGCCTGAGGCGGAAAGATCACTTGAGCCCAGAATTTTTGAGGTTGCAGTGAGCTACGATAATGCCACTGCACTCTCAGGGTGATAGAGCAAGAGCCTGTCTCATCACAAAAAAAAAAAAAAGAGAGAGAGAGAGAGAGAGAGAGAGAGAAACTGAAGCTAGATTGGTTAGCCAAAAATAAGAGAATTACAGATTTGTGTTTATATTGTACTAAGAATTTTATTACCACAATTTAATACTCCAATGAAATGGATATTTCCATTTGACACAAGAAAATACACTTGAAAAAAACAATATTGAGAATAATTTTATGCCACATTAAGACAATTTTATCACCAAAAAACTACACATGACATATTTGCTTCCTGATCTTTCAGGTACTAAGAACAGGTATAGATGCATGTGCAAACGTATGAGACATTCATGATGCAACAGTTAGCTAAAATGTGTCATAAGGCATATATGCAAAAATAAGAAACTCTTAAGTGTAACAGTGAATAATTTTCAAAATTTACTTGGTCTTTGAGAAGAATATCTATCACAAGACTATAAATAATTTTATAAAAATTCCTATTAACCAGAAAGTGGTAACTATTAAACACATACCATAGGCCACAGGTAAACTCCTTAAAAATCACAATTTTCATCTCTCAACAACAAAAATACCAAATACTAATGTCTCAATTTTACCACTTTTTTTCTTTATACGACAGGGTCTTGCTGTCACTGGGGCTATAGTGCAGTGGTGTCATCACAGCTCACTGCAACCACCAGGCTCAAGCCATCCTCCTGCCTCATCCTCTAGAAGAGATGGAACTACAAATGTATACCACTACACAAAGCTGATTTTAATTTTTGTAGAGACGGGGTCTTGCTATGTTGCTCAGGCAGGTCTCGAACTCTGGCCTCAAGTGACTCACCCACCTCAGCCTCCCAAAGTGCTGGGATTATAGGCATGAGCCACTGTGCCCTGCTCTTTACCACTTATTTTCTACCTCCCATGGATCATGTGAAAATATAGCCTAGTTGATGAGAACTCTGATCATCATCATTTGAAACAGAAATTTATTTTTATATGACCTCAAGATATAACAATTTAGCATATAATTATACCACCAGTAGCAAAAGCCCAAACTCTCCAATTCTGATAATAATCAAATGGGGCTTTCCATAGTTGTAACAACCAGCCAAACTTGTATTTCTACAAAATGTTAAGAAAGATGTTTTATATAAATTACTAGGAAAAATGTCAAAGGATAAATTAAATACAGGTTCACTGATTAACTGAATGTACTTCTTTTAACAGATATATTATACAAACAGCTTGAAATCAATTCTGTAGTGTTATTCTAACACAAAAGAATACTTTTAATATTTATGGAAATCAAAAGGTGACAAAACTAATATCCATCATTTCTGGTATGTCCATGACTAAATCAACTATGTTATTATATATCTATTATAAGATGATAATGCATTTACACACTGGATTTTTTTGAGGTGACATTTACATAACATAAAATTAAAAATTATAAAGTGAACAATTCTACGCCATTTGGTATATTCACAATGTTATGCAAATACTACCTCCAACTAGTTCTAAAACACTTCCATTAGCCCCAAAGAAAACTTTGTTCCCATTCATCAGTTACTTCCCATTCCCACTTCCAACCAAATCCTGGCAACCAGCAATCTGCCTTGTATCTCCTATTCAAGATGCTTCATACTCATGGAATCAGAGAATACATTACCTTCTGTGTCTGGCTTCTTTCACTTAACCATGTTTCTGAGGCTTACCCTTATTGTAGCATACAGCAGTATTTCATTCCTTTTTTGTGACTGAATGATATTCCATTATATGCATATAACACAATGTGTTTACCTATCCATTGAAGGACATTTGAATTGTTTCTACTATTTGGCTATTATAAATACGGCTGCTATGAACATTCATTTACAAATATTTGCTTTAGTACCGGTTTTCAATTCTTTTAGGTGTTTACCTAGAAGTGGAATTGCTAAGTTATGGAGTAATTCTACATTTAACTTTTTGAAAGAATCAACATACTGTTTTTCACAGCAGCTAAAATATTTTACATTCACACCAACAATATATGAAGTCCAGTTTCTCCATATCCTTACCAATACTTATTTTTCATTTTTAAAAAATTATAACCATCCTAGTGGGTGTGAAATGGCAGATTATAGTTCTGTTATGCACTTTCCTAAAGATTAATGATGCTTTGTTGGCCACTCCTTTAGAGAAATGTCTATTTCAGTCCTTTTCCCATTTTTAACTGGGTTGTCTTTTTGTTGAGTTGTAACAGTTCTTTATATAAATATTCCAGATACTAGAACCTTATTAGACGTATGATTTTCAAATATTTTCTCCTATTCTATAGGGTGTTTTTCACTTTCCTAATCATGTCTTTTGATACACTGCTTTTAATTTTGATGAAGTACAATTTATCTGTATTTTCTTTTGTTCAATGTGCTTTTGGTATCATATTCTAATTCAGAAAAAATTGTGTCTCTCTATATTCATAACACTCTAATACCAAATGTATAGGGATTTATTCCCATATCAACCAATTCTCCAGTACCAGCTGAGTGTCCTACAATTCCATTCAATGCTGACACTATATATCTAGAGTTAGTATTAGATCCCTCAAGATAAGCGCTCAGCCCCATAAGACTGCCCCCACTTCAGAGCTAATCAGAAGTCTAGGTCTGTTACACTTCTGACCAACTAGCTATAAATCAGGTGTACCCACAATACCCTTTTCAGGTTTGATAATTTGTTAGAACAGCTCACAGAACTCAGAAAATGCTTTACTTACTACTACCAGTATATTATAAAGGATACAATTCAGAACTGCCAAGTGAAAGAGACGCATAGGACACAGTATACAGGAAGAGGTGCAGAGTTTCCATGCCCTACCCAGATGTACTACCTTCCCAACACCTCAATGTGTTCATTAACCCAGAAGCTCTCTGAACCCCACTGTCTAGAGGTTTTAAGGGAAGCTAATCACATGATTGTAACCCCTAGCAACCAGCCCTTCATCCTTGGGAGCTTTACAAAAGTCATCTCATTAATACAAACTCATAAGCTCATAAGTGCTTGAAACAGCTTGTTATAAGTAACAGAAAGCCACACTTCTCACTCTTATCACTCAGGAAATTCCAAGGGTTTTAGGAGCTAACTGTGTGCCAGGAACAGGGACAAAGATCAAATATATATTTCTTATTATACTGCAGTGTCTCACATATCTAAGAATCTAATGCCAAATCCAAGGCCATGAAGAGTTACTTTTATGTTTTCTTCTAAGACTTTTAGCTTTTATATTTAGGTCAATGATCCATTTTCAGGTACTTTTTGAATATGGTGTTAGGGCTCCAACTTCATTCTTTCGCATGTGAATATCCAGTTTTGAGTACTAGAATTTCAGTGCAGCTAGAAATTTGCCAAAACCAAGAGGAAATTTAGATTTAAGAAAATAAGTCCTATGTTAGCTATCAGAATGCCCTAAGAATTACTTTAAGATATAGACATTACAGTGATTTAAGATATAGAAAAGGAGCAAGAATTATAAGTATATAAAGAATTTTTTACTATAAACAGCTAAAATGTATGCTAACAAAATACGTCCTTTTACTTACTACAGAATGGTGTCAACATTACACATAAGTCAACCT